GGTTTGGGGTCTAGAACACATTTTGTGTAATTATAACAACATGTAATTTATGACCTGGTTACATACGGATTGGGCTCATTATTTCAGAAATCTTACACAACTAGCACAACCAGAATAAGGGAGAGTTTACATTAATGTGATTATTATCATGTTCTTTTTTTAAATTAAATATATGAGATCCATTTGGTCATTGGGCTTTATGTGTTTTATTCTTCTAAAAGAGAAATCTGGCCTTCTTTTGTGACTCACAGCTGATCAGACACTGTGATCCTCCTGCCTAAAATTGCTTGATATTTAACAAGGGTCTGTCTCGCAAAGAGGCTTTTCTCTGGGCTTCTTTTAACCATCACTCTGAAAGTGCTCGAACAGTCACACATCTTCAGGAGTGTGACTTAGCGATGAGCTGGCTCTCATCAGGCCAGAGTTGAGGTGCCACGTGAGGCCTGAGTCAGACTGAAAGCAAAAGAGAGTGCCACGAAACTGAGATGGACTGCAGTACTTTGTCTCTTTGCTCCACTTTGAGCTTTTGAATGGTCGAGAAACGATATCGAACGGTCAGGATCGCAATCCTATTATTGTTTCAGAAATGCAACGCTCCATCTGTGAGGACAGGATTGCCGAATCTCCTTTTCAATTACTGGGCTCTCTCAGCTGTGATAAGGAGGAAGAGAGCAGGAGGGGCAGCTGCTTTGGACTTAAAATACAAACTTTTGGGTTTTTTGATCACTTTTTTTAATAATTTTATGCTTGTTTTAGTTAAGCTACAAAGTAGTTTCATAATGAATGAGTGAAATGATGAAGCACTGGACCAAAGGAATTAGCATGGTGTCTTCTTCTGCAGATGTTGATCATTCTTTGCTGCATCTATGCAAAAAAAACCTGTCAAATAATTTCATTTTCTCCCTATGAAATGATTAAGATGTCTTAAAGGATGATGAGGGAACTCTTCTAGCAGGGTAATACATTTTGTCTGCCGGTGTTTGCAAAATATGAAGGAATCACTCTTGGTGAGATAACCTCAAATGATCTACAGAGTTACCACTAGTCTTTCTAGATCTGGATTGGACATGGTTGCTAACATGTCACTATACCTAGTCAAAAAATATGTATTGTGTACACGTTTGTACACCCACCCTTCATAATACTGCTCATTCTAATGCACCGATCAGACACAACATTAGAACCAGGTGAACTGAAAAACAGTGATCATCCTGATACAAATTCAGCTTTCTGCTGCTGATCAGTACAGCACAAGCTTTTTTTATTGAAAGGTAAAGACCATAAAATATAAGAGCATAACTGCAACAATCCAAAACTAGAGACAGTGGGGGAAAAAAACTCCCTTTTAACAGGAAGAGACCTCCAGCAGTAAAGTAACTGCTGGCACACCAAGAGACCATCTCTTATTCATACACGCCAAAAGTATTGTCTGCCTTCAAACTCACGTGAAATCGAGTTAAATCCCATTCTTAATCCATTGAGTTTAACATGATGCCACATCACCCTTTGCAGCTATAACAGCTTCAGCTCTTCTG